GTCTTTGGGCTACATTTTCTAGTTTCCCACCCCACCATTGGCTTGCTTTCAGTGTGGAGACCACAAATTCCCCCTACCGACCACTTTTTTGCCTGGGAGACCACTTTGGGTGGTCGGCCGACCACTAAAAGTAACAGGCTAACCACCTTTTCTGGTCGGCAGCTTTCCTTCTGTTTTGGCAGACTGAATGGATGCCAGTTGTGCCAGCTGGAGGGCACAGACTGTATCTTTCATACACGTGTATGGAGGGATTGCATCCAAGTTTTAGCTTCTTCAAGAACCTTGAACCCTTTGTTCTTCTATAAGAGAGGCTCTCCCTCTCCATTCCAGAGGTTCTGAATTTTGCCTAAGGCACAAGTGTATATCTCCCTCTATATCTCTATATTTGGTGCCTAAAGTGTGTGTTGTTCTTCACCTTTACACCACAACTCTTAACCATACACCCCACAATTGAACTGAGGTTCTTGAAGGACCTTTTTGGAGGTTGAAAAGCTATTTTTTGGCTGAGAAACTTGCTGGTATTGCAGTGCTTCAAGGGTAACCTCTTTTCTCCCCTTTTAAGCTTTGTCTTGATCATTCTCTTAGCCATACTTGCATGCTTATTTGAGCTTTTTTTTCAACTAAAAAAAGCTTCATTTTTGAGCACTTAACATGTTTGTTTAAGGCCTCTTGGGTGCTGAGGGTCTCCTACCCTCTTGCATGCCTTGTTTGGCCTTGTTTTGTGCCATGCCTTAGGGCCTTTGAGCTAATCCTTGATTGGCCTTTTAGCCACTGAAATCCAATGGATTTTCAGTGGTTGGAATGTAGTTTTGAGGTCCTAAATCAGAGAGCGGTGACCCTCTCTCTTTTTGTCTTGTTTACTTGCATTTTGGCCTATCAAAGGAGCATACATTTTCATACTTTCAAGGCTTGGTTCAGGCACTTTTTGGTGACTTCTATGGCCTGCCTAGACTCTATCCATGGTTGGTTTGGTCACCCTTGGCATGCTTCTCATATGTGTAGTGTATTCCCATTTATGGCTCATCAAGGTAGCAGGTCAATCTAGCATGTTTTAGCTCCATTTCAGTGTTTTTTTGGTCATCATTCGACATGTCATGGCTCTGTTTTTGGCTAGTTTGATAACCTCTCACATGTTGTAGTGTAAATCTTGTTTACTTGCTTGGTTCGCATGATGTTTTGGCTCTTTATTCTAGCACATTTTGGCTTTGCTCCAACATAGTTTTGTTCATATTTTGGGCTGCCTTAGCTCTGTTTTGAGGCCTCTTGGTCGAATGATGCTTGCCATGCATGCTTGTTGTGTAATAGCCTTGACTAGCTTTGAGTTTTGAGGTCTCTTGCATGCTTAACTCGAGATATTTGCATGTTTTGGCATCATTGGGAATGTTATTTCAAAGCATGTAGGTCTGCTATGCTTCCATATTTTTCCACTCTTTAAGTGCTCTTTTGAGTTATGCTTTTATGCCCTATTTGTGAGCCATTGCATAAGCCCCATTTTTGTGCCTTTCAAAGCCATCATCCCAACTCATTTTGCTACTGTTTTGGCCTGCATAGGGTCTGTTTGGGGTTGGTTTGGTCATTTGAGCATCGCCTTGCGTGTCTCTAGTGTAATACGCTTCACTAGCTTTCGATACTTGAGCCTTTCAACATGCATTGCGTGAGTTGTTAGCATGATTCGAAGTCATTTTTTTATGCCATTTCAGTGCTGAAACACATGCCATTGTACTCCATGTTTCATCTTTTCAATGCTCTTGGAGAGTTGTATTTTGTGCCTTAGGCTTGGGCCATTGCATTATACATGTTTGTGTGTGTTTTGGTGCCTTGATTTCATCATCAATGGCCGGTGATTTGGACATGGCTGAGACCTATTCATTTCGGTTTGAGTCCATTGCGTATTGAATATGTCATGTAGTTCGTAGCATTGAGCATGCCATGTTGTTACATGATTGATCATTGTACTTGTGCATGCCATTTTCATTGCATTATGTATGTTGGTTACCACGTGCATTGTGTATGTTAGTGTCATGAGCGTTGTGTATGCCATGTAGTTCATAGCATCGTGTATGCTAGTTTGCATGCTTGCATGATCATCCCTGGCATGCTTGCATGTCCAAGTTGTGTTGCATTAAGTTGCATGATTGAGTCGCATTGTGCATGCCATATTTGTTGCATTGTGTTTGGAATAAGCGTTAGTCCAAAAACGGAAAACAAGGCACATTTCATACTCGAAGTGATAAAACATACCTCGATTCCCGGTCGCCGACATTCTTGACTATACATGACGGAGTTCTAGGCTTTAGGTGTTTATATGTGCATTCATTCCATATTCAGTTGCGCAATTCGGCCCCTCGGCCATCATGCATCGAGATGCGTGATTGGTGGCCCGAGGGTCGAGACCTACACTCCCTTGAGCTTATGTAATGATAGGGAGGGTGGTCACGCATACATGTGTTGTAAATACTTTGCCATGCCCTTTTCTTGCCCTCTGTTGTAGAAAACCATAAACCAGCAGCAAAAACTGGTCGGCCGACCAGATAAAGTGGCTGGACGACCACTTTTTCTAGTTTTCACCACAAAAAGTGGTCGGCAGGTGGTCTCCAAGGCCAATATCTGGTCGGCAGCATCCCTACAGATTCCCAAGGTGGAGTTTCATCTTTCTGGAGCTTAGTGCAAGTTTCTGAGATCAATTGCAAATAGAGGCGAATCGGGGCGTCGCGTGGGATTTCCGAACAAGGCGACTCGAGCATGCATGCATCCTTTGTCGTCCAAAGCAAAACTAAGGCAGCCTACATCATATAGTTTATATGCTTATTCAATTGCTAACTTAGTTAATTTGTTAATTAGTTAGAGTTGTGTAATAATTAGTTGTAGTTTGTTATTCATTTTGTTGTGTAAGAACTAGTTTAATTAGATTAGCTTAGATTAGCTTAGATTAGCTAGTTGGTTCTGTATTATTCATTCGGACCCTCCGTCGAGAGGGCACAACTATTGTAAATAAGTGTACGTGTGTGTGATGCATGTCTTCTAACCCCAATTTCTTTCTCCTTTTTATTTACCAGCTTACGATGGTTAGTTTTAGGGCATGTTTCAATTAGCATCCTTATGCTTGCATGTTTGCATCCATTCATTTGTCTTGCATGCATCGGGCTCGGCGCATCATACTAACTTCATTGTATTTCAATTCCTGTTTGAATACATGTATCAAATTGCATTTCACATGACATTTTAGAATAGCCGAGCCTATCTTAGTTGCATTTTGTATGTGTTGCATTAGGCATTCTTGACATAGCTAGGATCATGCATTGATTTCTAACATAGCTTTTGTTTTGGCTCGGAGAACTCGGTAAGTGTTTATGCTTTAGCATCCTTGCATGTGTGTGAGTGACTGCCATGATAGCATGCTTGCCATGAGGCTAACTGCTTATGTGATATAACTGTCTAAATGCCTGTGGGTGAAGGTTAGGTTACTTGAATTTTAACAATTCATTGATTGCGAGTTTTAAGCCCACTTGAGAGTGGCAAATCATCGTGTTTTCTAAGCCCACTTGAGGGTGGCAAAATCCGCATTTTAGCCTACTTGCGAGTAGCAAACCGCTTTTAAAAACAAACATGAGATGTTTTGTTCCAACTTAGGTGATCCAGTCTATACTTGTATGCTGTGCGCATCACATAGTAATTCTAGGTTAATAACCGGAGTAAGAGCACATGTGTTTTAAAAAACAAGATATCATGTTAGTAAAGGCCGATCTTTGATCGGGCGAGCGGGGGTGCTCATTGCATGACCTTCCCCTCTCGTACCCAAGTTCCCGAGCCGAGGCAACTTTGGTGATGATGGACATGTGGCCTTAGGCATGAGTCAGGGTTTCCTAAATCTCCCAAAAATAAAATATTTAGGTGGCAACTCTGTATCTGGAAAAGCAGTCCATGTTTGACACTTCTTTCTAAAAATCAATTTTTCAAAACGATTTGCCGGATTTAGACTCTTTGGTGATTTATCGATCTTGCATTGCACTTTGTGAGATTAGATTCAGAACCGTGACATGGAGTCCGAACTGTAGTAAGCCCAATGAACAAAATGGAATTTTCCCGGGACGTTCGGGTGCGTCCACAAGGTGCTTCAGGAGCACTTGCCGAAAATAAGGGAGGAGTTTGAGGAGTAACAGACATGGAAGTTTGAGAAGCATTATGTGAACTTGTTTTATTTTTCTTTGCCAACGCAAGCTCCAAACCACCTTTTGTCCACCTTCGTCCCTTGCAAGTGCACTTTCTTCTCTTGAGTCCTTTTGCTTGAACTACATTTTTATCCGCTACACCATCCACTTCAAAGGTTTCGGGGCATGTGTTAGGGGGGCTTTCTTGTTGAATAGTATCTGAACAAGGCATATTCAATTTTGCGCTTAGCATGGTTTCAATGTCTGCAATTAATTCATCTGCTTTCTCGACCGTCAAATTATATGTTTCCTCACTTTCAGAAGCTCTACACGCTACTGATCTGAATATTGCCATCAATGACCTATAACGTGAAGTTTGATGCAATCTTACATCAACCTGAATATATCATGCCCACACCTATCTTTCACATTTTCAGATCTTGCTTTTTTAGTCCATCTCTTCAGAATATATTGTGAAGGAATCTCTTTGAATTTGAGTCTTTCTCTAAGGATCTTCAAACAATGACTACACAAAATGCCCTTCATTTCAAACTTCCTACAATTGCAAGTGACTGAATCATCACACTCCTGCCTCACCTTTATACCATCACTATCAAGAACCGTATAAACGGTACTCTCACCATCATTTTTAATTTCTTCAATGTTTACTTCAAGGGACTTGACATACTCATCCTGAAATTCTTCAAAAAATTTATTTGTGTAAACATTTGCAGCTTGCTTCATAATCTTCACTTTAATATTCACCCTTGGCAACTTTTGGCATAGAGCATATTCGGCTTGTAACTCTTTGTACCTCTTCTCAGACAGAACTCGATCAAAATGCATGAAAAATTACATTAAGTTATGATCAGACTGAATGAAATCCTTCAAGAAAGCATTAAAGGATTCACTAAGTTGGGTGCTACTCATGCCCGCACCCCATGCATTTCTAACATATGGCCAACCCCATTTTTCCTTGACCCCAAATGTTAACTTCAACCAATGATTATCTCTTACTTCATACTTGTCAAGCATTTCCTCCCATTTTAACGTAAACTCTTCCTCATCCTCAATGTCGTACATAAATGTGGATAAAACACTCTTCATCCCCTTATCCTTCATCGCCTTATCCTTGAAGATAGAATTTGCATACCTTAATGCATTTTGCATCAAATGCCAAGTGCAAAGGCGGTGGGTTGTGTTAGGCATGACAATAGGTATGGCCTTAGCCATTGCAGAATCCTGATTCGTAAAATTTTTTTTTGAGCCTTACTTGACATTGCCTCCAAGAATCTTCTAAAAAGCCATACAAAAGAATCGGCGGTCTCATCATACATCAAAGCTGCACCAAATATCACAGTTTCCCTATGATGATTAAATCCAACAAAAGACGCAAATGGTCTATGTGCACTATTTAACTTGTAAGTAGTGTCGAAAGTCACAACATCACCAAATTGGCCATAATCCATGATCATCTGAGCGTCAGCCCAAAATATGTTTGTAATCTGCTCCTCGTTATCTAATTGGACCGAGTAAAAAAAAGATGGATTCTCCAATGATTTGTCACGAAAATATTGCAAAATGCTACCTGCCTCCCCATATGCTAAACTGTTTTGCCTCTTCGTTCTCAAATAATTTTTTTGGTCCAGTTTTGTGAACCCAAGTGACTCCCTTCCACCAACTTCATTACCCATGAGCTCAAATGCAGCATTAAGACGGATTCCAGATTTTTCGGCTAAATCTATTTCGGTTTCTTGTGATGCAGATATCTTCCTTTGGGATCGTAACATATGCGTACATTCTGTTGGTACAAAGATATGATTATGTTTTTCAACAAAATCACTAACAAAAAATTTCTGCATATTCCTATCCCACTTAATGACAAGTCGGGCTTGACAACCAGTCCTCACTTCCTAGCTAGGATTTTTTGTTAATGAATCTCGCTTGTCGACAACCCGAAATCCCTCCTTATTACAAACAAATTGCCTTGAAGTGATTTGACCCTCTTTGCTCTTGTTTACATAACCCTTTCTAATCCTAAAGCCCAACCTTCCTCCATAAGTATTATAGAAATCATATGCTTCTTGTTCTGTACCAAATGTCATGCGAACTCTAGGCTTCCAATCACACTCACCCCCGTCATTCTCATGATTGGTAGGTTCCATATCAATGTGCCAAGTCACTTAAAAAGTAAAGAAGTGCTCAATATTAGCATAAAAACTATAAATTATGTTTGCAAAATAATACAAACTGAATAAGATAATCAACGAATAACAGAAATTAGATAATCAAGGCAAACAAAAAAAATAGAAATTAACAACAACCAAATGCCAAGTGCAATATGCTATCTTTGTGGTTAGAGTTCCAATAATAAACTTTATTTCAGGAGGGTCAAACTTTATATTCATATTTTTCAAATGATTCTCAACAATGAAGTCAATCAAGCCTTCAAAAGACACTGCCACTCAATTTCTATTTAAATTGGACAAAAAGTCTAATAAGCATTATCTGTGGACTCCACTTTGAAACGAAATGCCATTTGTAGTAACAAGATAATTTAACAGCTACAAGCCCATAAACATCATTTAACAAGTCAATATGAATTATCAACACATTTAAACATCACATATTAATCATTTCACCAACTCAAATTTTCATATTGTTACGTGTTGTGCATCAATATGAAATAAGATAGGTTTAGTTATATAAAAATAAAAATAAAAATAAAAAAACTAGAGATATATCAGTTATAATTTATATGAATGGAAATAGCTGATGGTCTAAGCTAGCTCTGATTGATAATGTGAAATGCAGAAAATGTAAAATTAGAAGCAGTTGTCATGACTGTTAATGCCAGAATTTAGGACATGTGCAAGACTCAACCAGGATTTCTAAACCTAATGAGATGAACTAAAAGAAGGTAAGTCAATACCTAAAAATCAATGACCCAGTATACAGTCAAGGGAATTCATTCCAGTTTCAAAACTTGTTAATCTTACTCTTGATTCAAATTCCATTTTATTTGACAATCATCTGAACATGTTGACAGTGTTTCCAACTATAAAATTTCATTAAAAAATTCATCTTTTCCCAACAAAACATGAACTTTAATATATCCCCCATTTTTTTTCTAAGGTTGCATATACTGTGTATAAAAATATACATATATAATGTATAATGTATAATGTATATATATATATATATATATATATATATGGATTGAGCAATATTCAGCACAACACAGATGAGGCAAAAAAATTTTGTGTGGTTGAAAATTCTATATTTCAGCAAGATTCAGCAATATATATCTATTATTCAAGGCTGCATAATGTATATATATATAATATAATCACCTATATTTTCTTCAATCGGTTAGAGCAAGGGCGACGGCCACGGCGGCGGCAGGACAGTGGCGACGGCAGGACGGTGGCGACAGCGGGGCGACGGCGACGATGGGGCGACGGGATGCTCTTCGCGACGGCCAACTCTTCTTCGCTCTCTTGTTCTTTCTTTGCTTCTTCCCACCGTCTGTATAGCTCTTCACGTTCTTCAACCATATGGGGGGAATTTTGAAATCCCTGAATTTGATTTTTTTTTTTTTGCTTTTTCAAAATACTCACCAAAACGACGTCATTTTGGGGATTTTTATTCTCAGCCGTCGGTTTAAGTACTTTAGGAGATCACTCTAGAGGATTAACTCTAGAGGATCCTTACGCGTCAAACTTAGCCTAATGAACTTAGATAGGAGTATCTATCAGTCCTATATATATATATATATATTTTGAGTTCTATTATTTTAAATCTTTTATTTTTTTAATCCTTTATTTATAAATTTATAAAAAAAATTCTTTCAAATAATATTAAAATTATTTTTAAAACAAAATTCATTTTATCTCCTTATGATATGACTCAATAGCACTTTACTTCATTGTCTTTTAAAAATAGGAGTTTTATTTAATAAATCCTCTTTCTAAGAGTTTTATTCCATCAAACTCATATTCTTTTTGACTATTCTATTAAGTCCTATTTGAAATTAGAAGACCAAAATACCCTCAATCTCCCTTTTATATTCTAAAATCAAAACCGATCCTATTCCCTTATTGTTTCATATTTCACTCTCCAAATCATTCCTTCCCAAAACTATCATCGTTGCAGCAAAAACTCCCAAATCCTAACCCTAGGTTTCACATCGCTTCACCACCATCCTACCATCATCCACAGTCACCCACAGTCGTTAGCGACTGGTATTCCGTTTCAATCCACTACTACGAACATTTATATTGATTTGATATCACCAATCGTGGTTCATTCGTGGCCAGCCACAATGAGAAGCAAATGTAAGCACCCATCTTTCCACTCTCTGTTTTCTTTCATTTGAATCTAAATAACTTATGTAAACATTTACATTACCTTATTATTATTGTTGTTTTTTATTGTCATATGCTATTGTTTTGTAATAAACTCCCTATTTCCCCCCATTCTCTGAATGTTGGTGCTGTTGATTGTTGATTGTAATCAAATAATTAAAACTCTCAATCTCTGAATTTCCCCCCCCATCTTTTGGTTCAGTGTGAATTCCTACACAGATGATGTAAATATAGTTACCATTGTTGTTGAGTAACGACCGATGTCAACATTTACATTATGTACTTAACTGATGTAAACATTTATATGATTTGTTATTATTGTTGACTTTTTTATTGTCATGTGCAAGTGTTTTGTAATAAGCTACATATTTCTCCCCTTCTGTCAATATTGAACTTGTTGATCTTATTGATTGTTGATGGTGATTAAATAATTAGAACTCTCAATTTCTGAATATCCCCCCCATCTTTTGGTTCAATGTGAATTCCTACACAAATGATGTAAATATTTACATCATCTGATTACCATTGTTGTTGAGTAATGACTGATGTCAACATTTACATCACATACCTAACTGATGTAAACATTTATATGATTTGTTATTATTGTTGAATTTTTTGTTGTCATGTGCTATTGTTTTGTAATAAGCTCCTTATTTTCGCCCTTCAGTCAATATTGGACTTGTTGATCTTATTGATTGTTGATAATGATCAAATAATTAGAACCCCCAAATTTCTTATTATTTTCCCATATCTTTTGGTACAATGTGAATTCCTACATAGATGATGTGAATATTTACATTATCTAGATATATTTGTTATTAAGTAACCTCGATGTGGACATTCACATCAAGTACCTAACTGATGTAAACATTTACATGATCTAATTATTAATATTGGTTTTTTTTTTTGTTATTTTCTATTGTTTTGTAATAAGCTCCCTATTTCTCTCATTCTGTCAATGATGGATTTGTTGGTCATGTTAATTGTTGATAGTGATCAAATAATCAGAACCCCCCAATTTCTGATTATTTTCTCCTCTCTTTTGGTTCAATGTGAATTCCTACACATGCAATATAAATATTTACATCATCTGGTTATCATTGTTGTTGAGTAGCAACTCATGTGAACATTCACACCATGTATCTAACTTTGTTCATTGTTGTTTTATCATGTGCTATAATGTGTTTACGTGAACAATCATATTACTCATTATCTTTTTGGTTCAATGTGCATTTGGAAAGAAATAATTAGAACCCCCAATGTCCCCCGTCTATTTGGTTCAATGTGAATCAAATTATAATTTGTTGTTGTGAACATTCACATTAGACATATATTATGTGAATGTTCACACCATGTATTTAACTTCTTGTTTATTCATGATTTGTAATGTCCCCATGTGAACATTTACATCGACTATTCACATCCATAATCACCATAATTATTTCACTATTCACATGACATATAGTTTACTTGTAAAATTTGTTTCCAATTGAACAAACAGATGTTGCTTATAGATTTCATGGCAAATGAAAAATAGAATAGTTCCATGTCAAAAACGAACTTGAACAAATAGTCAGCCCTCCAAAAAGTGAACATGACAACTACCAAACTAACATCATTGGGTTAGTAAAATTGATAACGAGCGGCAAGTTCTTGGATCCTCAGCTGGATTGTTTGTAGGAAACGTCATTTTGACAGTTGTTTGATGTGTTGAGGACTGGTAAAGTTGACATTGACAAATGAATGAAGTTCAATGGTATCATCGTATGCGTGCTAGAGATGTACAAGGCATTCAAAGACACATTTTACATTGACGAGAAAAAGATGAATATGAATCTCACATCCTTTGCAATTTTGTAAACATTAGAATGCATTGGACAAAAGAACCATAACTAGTTATTTTGATTGTACTTAATAAGACACAATGGTATGTTGTCATAATATTTGCTATTACAAAGTCAATGTTAATATTCATATTAGTTTATGTTGTTTTATAATTATGTACACTACAACAAATTTGGGATTTAAAGACGAAACAAATTTGTCTCAAAATGTATACATTTTGTCACCCAAACTAATTACAATGAAAGTTTTTGTCACCCGTTTTGTCGCCAAAGCGTCGTCGCTAAAGGGTGTTAGAGATGAAAAAACAAATTCGTCATTGAAAAGGACAAATTTGTGATGATTTTTTTTTTTGTCTCCAATACACTCTGTTGGGAACATACTTGTAAGTAATTAGCGACAAAATATTTTGTCATTAAAGGAAGAAATAAGAGACAAAAGTATTTTGTCATAAATATAAGAAATAAAGACAAAATGATTTAGTCGCATTTAATATAAACGAAGACAAAAAATTTTTTGTCAAAGAAGCTACCAATAGAGACAAAAACAAATTCATCATTCAAAATGATGAAATAATGTCA